AAAAAAAATAAAAAATTTGCGGGGTGCCGACGACCCCCGACCGGTAGGTGCCGACCAGCCTACCGGTCGGCGGGTCGGCAGCCGACTAGTCGAGGGCCGCCGACCGTTGGCGTGTGCAACACTGCTGTATTGTGAATTTATGACATAATAACAGTATCTCAGGGAATGCAGTTCGGTTGTTGGACGAAAACTGTCTGACTCGATTGCATGTCGTGGTGCTGGTATGACACAAAAGGTATTGCCAACCTTATGTTGCCAACAGGTGGTTATGAGGTCTGCGCATTATACCGGGGCCACATGGTTCTGTCTGCATTTGTGCTTGCATTGCCGTCACCATTCCGTGTTTAGATAGTCTATTGGCTAGCAAATGGGCCAGGATACAGGCTAGGATATAGGCGACGAGATAGGCTAGGAAATAGGGTAGGAGATAGCGCTGGGGGTAGAGTAGGAGGCAGGGCAGGAGATAGGATAGGACATAGGGCAGATAAAAATGTTAGGAGATATATTGTAGGAGATATGCTAGGAGGTAGGCTAGGAGATAAGCTAGGCGATGCGCTAGCACATAAGCTAAGCGATAGTGCAGGCGATAGGGTAGGAGATAGGGTAGAAGACAGGGTAGGAGATAGGGATGGGGATAGCAGATAAGCTATAGGCGATATGGTAGGAGATAAGCTAGGCGATAGGGTAGGAGATAGGGTCGGGGATAGCAGATAAGCTATAGACGATATGGTAGGAGGTTAGCTCCGTGGTAGGGTAGATAGGGTAACGGAGATAGGGACCGAGATAGGGCCGGGGATAGCGGATAGCTAGGTGATATGGTAGGATATAGGCTTTGTATGGGATCAGCTTGGTATGGGTCACTTTGGGAAGAAACCCTGTTATAAGTATAGAAGGGTGATGTACTGTAACTGGCGCCTGGATGCATGGGCGCTGTAGCCTACTGAGCTGGTAAAGAACCCTGCAGACAATAATGTTAAATAGCACTTGAGCTGAAACAACCTGTTGCCTGGCACAGCTTTGTTTGCAGTGAGATTAGTTCAGTAGGATACTGAGCTGGTGAAGCAGTAGTAAGATTAGGCACATTATGTTGAAATTTAAGTTTTATGATCCATGTGTATGTTTGTTTCCTCTCTCTCTCTCTCTCTCTCTCTCTCTCTCTCTCTCTCTCTCTCTCTCTCTCTCTCTCTCTCTCTCTCTTCTCTCTCTCTTCTCTCTCTCTTCTCTCTCTCTCTCTCTCTCTCTCTCTCTCTCTCTCTCTCTCTGTGGACGAAGATGGACAAAAAGAAACTTCATACGGAGCACACACACACACAGATATATATATATATATATATATATATCTTCCTTTCTTTGTTTCGTGGGTGTTTTGCTTGGTTGTGATGGGGTGTGAACACTGTGAACCGACAGTCTGTAGAGTTTTCCATCTGGTGTGGGTGAGTGATAGTCTGCTTTGACTTTTGCCACAGGTACCTTGAGGCCAGTGGTTGGTGCCCACCTCAGGGTATCAGTTGTCGTGATGCTTAACCACAGCCGGGGTTAAGGTGGATTATCACTTACAGTGTAATCAGTTAGGGGATTCTGCAGACTGTTGAGGGTTCAGCCTCCTGATGAGTTGGTGAAACTCCAACGAAACAGTTTGCCACAGCCCCTCGTTTATTGTCCTCTTCTCCCTCTCTCTCCGCCTACGGTTTACCGGGCAGCTCTGTTTGACTATATATATACCACCCGTCGTGGCAATTGTTGCACTGAGAATGCTCAGCTAGGTCTTCCATGTGTTCATCCACCTCATCCTTACAATGTATGTCCTCTCTGTCGTCAAGGACAGACTCATTCTTGAGCCTTTTCTTATCCTCTTTTGCCTTCATCTTCACTCCAGACTCCATACTTTCCCTTACTTTCCCTTTATCGTGCTTTGTTTGTCTGCTCTCCATCTCTCCTCCCTGTGTTTATCCCCTCCCCCTTCACTCTGCC